TCTTTTGATAGCTGGGCACCATCAGCTTTCTTCACCACATTTGCTTATGCACCTATTTGTCTTCAGCAATCACATCATGGAGGTGCTTTTTTGTTCTCTGATGCCTGATAGCTGATCCCTTTGGCACCTCGTGATCACAAAGGCTGCTGTGCTTCTTCCATGGAGTCGGTAATTTAACCAGAATATACTCAAGAAGTGGATCTGTTTTGTGGCTTGAATAGGAACCTGTTGGCAATGTGGGTAAGCATGGGACTGCTAACCACAAGACTGATGGTTCAACCCCACCAGCCACTCCACCGGAGGTTGATGAAGCTGGCTGCCCTCATAAAATTTTACAAAACCTCAGAAATCTTATATAGGGTCATTGTGCATTGGGAACAACTAGATGATGTTGGGGTTTAATATGAACATATTGGATTTTCTGAGTGGTGCAAATGCGTAAGTGGTCAGCCGCTCTCTGAAAGTTTGGGTCCTTTGGTTTTTCCAAAGACTTCTCCAAAGAAAGACCTGCCTTTCCGCTCCCCAGAGGTCCTCACCATCAAAGCCCTCTGGAGCCCAAAGAGGTGGCCGTGGGCCAGGGTCAGCTCTCTGGCAACTGGTTTGTTTTTGTTGTTTTTTTATATGAATCATTTTATTGGTGGCTCATATGAATCTTATCACAATCCATCCTTCTATCCATCCATTGTGTCAAGCACATTTGTACATTTGTTGCCATTATCGTTTTCAGAACATTTAATACGAACATTGGTTTTCAAAATAATTTCTTTTAGCAGTGTAAACTCCATGTGAGTGCCCCCTTAGGCCACTGTTGTCAGTTCTCTAAGATGTGTCTCAGGAATTGTGCCAGATCTGTGATTCCCTTGAGCAAGGATTATTCTAGTTGTTCAGGTAGAGGGATGGAGGGTGTCCTAAAAGTGAAGTAATGTCCCGGACCACATTTAGTCAGAGGGCGACACAGGCCTCTCAAGAGCAGGACTCTTCCCATCTGTGAGATAGCAGAGTTTTTAGGACCAGTGAATTTGACTACTGAATTCAACAACCGTGCTTTACGATGATGAACTTCAAGTATAAGTCACCTCTCACAAAGTGGTTCCAGGCTTTACATCGGAAAGGTAAGTCCAGGATTGGTGGGATAAAATTTAGAGCCCTTTCCTATCAATTCTCTATTTCATCCACTAAGTTCATCTTATGCAGGTGGAAATGACTGGACTGGCTAGAGGACAGACAAAAATTGTCTAAGCATTTACTGGGTCAAACAAGAGTTGAAGAACCTTAAAAATGAAATGTATTATTTTTAAGTATAGGGGGTCAAGAGTGAGTGGAGATTGAGTAGAAGCCTGAGACCTCTGGTTTCAGACTGTAATCTGCCATCATGAGAATGCAGCCATGGCATTCCTCGGCATGATGTAGGGAAGGGTTAGTGGCCCTCCACCGCTAAAGGTGCTTAAGACAGTCACTACTTTTTGGGTTTGGGGAGAGCTTTAGGGTCATTAACAAGTAAAAGGAATAAATACTACAGTTTTAGAAGACTCGAGAATGCTGAGTTATAATTCATTGGATCCTATTGTGTGTTGAACCTAATAAATATTGGGTGATATAGCACATATCTTTAATACACACACACACATTCCTTAGATTCTTTCAGTAAGACCGTAAACCTTCTATGCATTTCATTGTTACTTATTATTTGTAAGTTTGGTAAATCACCAGCTATTATTTGGATCACAGAAATAAGTAACTGACGTACTCAAGTTGTACAAACAATGATCATTGCACACTACTAAAAACAGGCATACGAGAGGGAAACCTCTAAGGTCAACAATATTCCATGTCTTCTTCTGAATCCAGTCAGAACCTCTGTCAGCTCCTTGTCAACGTACTACTTCAACCGTTGTTGGATGATCTTTAGCAAAATTTTACTTGCGTGTGATATCAAGAATATTGTTCTGGCGCTATCTAACAATGTTCAGCTTCTGTTGACGA